TCTTCGCTTTCCCCTCTCCCTCATTAGCTGACACCCTACACCCACACATCCACGCTCCAATTTTCTCTCCAATATCCTCTTCTTTCTTTTTTTCTTTGCTTTGCTTGCACCACCACACCACCCCATTTCTCTCCATTCTATAATTTTTTTTTGATTTTTCCATGTTTGTGTGAATTCTTGAAACATTCTGTCTTTTCTTCATTCAACAACTTACCTTTCTCTCCCCCCCCCCCTTTTCCCTCTTCCCGTGTGTGCAAACTTTTTTGATTAATAACGATAGAGAGAGAGAGAGAGAGAGAGAGAGAGAGAGAGAGAGAGAGAGAGAGAGAGAGAGAGAGAGAGAGAGAGAGAGAGGGGGGGGAGAGAGAGTGAGGGTTGGGGTGGGAGTTGACTCTTTTATTATAGGAAGAATGACAACTTACCAGTCTGAAGTTGAGTGTGTGGCTTTTCGTGAACGTGACTGGTGGTCTCATCCAAAGGGTTTACGGAATTCTGAGGAGAGGATGGCGTAGTCGCTTCCTTCACCTCGTCCACACCGCTCCGCCCACACACTGAAAGTGCCTTTCTCTTACTGGCGCTCAGCTTGTTGTTGTTGCTGTTGTTTTTGCTCTTATCGTTGTTGCAGCTCCCGATGTTGTTGTTGTCGTTGTCATTGTTTATGCTGCAGTTTTTCTTGATGTTGCTGTTGCGGTTATTGCGAATTTTGCGGCTGCTGCTATGGCCTCCGTTGCTACGTTTGCTGCAACTGTTGTTGTTTGGCGACTCGGTACCCACACCAGTCACGTACTGGCTCTCTGTCGAGCTCTGTGATTTGTCCCTAGACGAACAAGAAGAGGGTGTCGATGTCCTCGTCTGGGACGTCCCAGATGGAGCAGCGGCGCCATCGTCCGACCCGTCTCTCTGGCGCAGGGGTTTGTCACCGCAAAATTTCAACAAACGCCGACACTCCACAGACTTTGTTTTCTCCTTCTTCTCCTCCTCCTCAGCCTTTCGTCTCTGCCTCTTCTCCTCCTCCTCAGTCTTTGAACTGTGCCTCTTCCCTTCCTCCTCAGCCTTTGAACTGTGCCTCTTCCCTTCCTCCTCAGCCTTTGGTCTCCGCCTCTTCCCTTCCTCCTCAGCCTTTGATCTCTGCCTCTTCCCTTCCTCCCCAGCCTTTGATCTCTGCCTCTTCCCTTCCTCCTCAGCCTTTGGTTTCCGCCTCTTCCCTTCCTCTACAACCTTTGATCTCTGCATCTTCCTTTCCTTCTCAGCATTTGGTCTCTGCGTCTTCCCTATCTTGTTTCTCGAGATTGCTGCTGTAGGTCTCACCCTCTCTCTCTGAGTTTCTTCAGCCATAGCAAGAACTGTCTTAAAGTCCATGGGTGGGGGGACGCCTTTTTTGTTAGCGTGTCTGACGATTGGCTTCTTTGGTGGTTTAGCAGATTCCAGGTACGTTTCTGTGGCAGATATCGGCAGACTGTGCTTCCATCTGTTGTCATGATTCACGAACGACTGGCTATGAGAAGACCTGAAACGTTTACTGCTGCTGCTGCTTTCATGAGTCGACTTCCTTTTCACGCTGGTTTTATTTTCCACATCTGCGTAATCTTTCTTCTGGGCTCTCTCCCACGCCTCCCTGGAGAGCCTGGCTATCTTCTCTCTTTCTCGTCTCGCTTCTTCCTTGGACAGCGTGCTGTATAAGCCATAGGGATCATTGTTGCTTGTTTTCTTCTTAGGAATTATGTATCCCTCCATTTTCTGCTCTTCTCTTTCCTCTCTCGTTCTTTCTATCCTGGTTGACTTTGCTGAAAGGAGAAAGAAAACATAACAGAGTTAGAGAATAAGATGAAATCTTGTAATCAAAAATAAGGAAACGAAAGTTGTACATTATATATCACACATATGTGCTCATGTGATAGTTTTAATCCAAAGACCGCATAAATGCCTTTTCATCCACTTGTGTTTTGTGTTGAGATAAAGGTATTGTAAAGCGGCGAGAGCTGTATTGTACGGAAGTCATCTTCATTTATTTTATTTTTTATATTGCAGAATCTAGTGGGCCAGTGATAACTTTTTTTTAATGTATTTTTTTCACGCCTCTCATCGATACCAGTAGAGAGATCAAGATACTCGATAAAAGTTCTCCCCGCTTGGGAATCTAACAGCGAGTTACCATAAGCTACACTAGACGCTGGCCATTGAAATACATTCGCCCCTGGGTAAGACGACCACCCATTATCAAGGAGAAAAATGGCCGTACAAGTCAGGTGGCCGTCTTAGGTAGGACTAAACAAGATAAAAGAAAACAGACCATTCTTTTCTGAGGTCCCAATCGAAGGTAGCCACAATGTTGTTGTTATTCTTGTTGGGTTGTTGTTGTTTTTTGTTGTTGTTGCTTGCCTTTTTGTGTTGTTATTGCTGCTGATCTTGCGCAAGGGTGGCAATAAAACGAAATGTGTCCAACGAGGAAGACCGAGGACCATGTTAAAACAAACACGCGAGTCGCCACCACTGGGAGAACGAGCGACGCTTCTGTCGCAAGTTTATGTTGATGTTCATTGTTACTTTGTTACAGACTGGGTAAACAGTGACCGCTCATCTCACATACGATTTGTGTCTGAGTTGTGGGCGGGGCTTATGGGTTATTGGGGATCACACGCTTACCTCACCAGCAGTCGAACGTTTTATTTATTGTTACCTATTGGTCAACAGTGGGAGGGGCCAAAACAACATGATCGGTTGGAGGAGCTAGCTATCAACAACAACAGGTGATTGGATAAAGATGGTACGCCCACAACGCCAGGGGCCAATGCATAATTCATGACAAAATGTAATGGAGTCACTCAGGTGGCCGTCTAAGACAGGTGTTATTGTTTGGTGTGATAGGGGTTGTGTGTTAACATATGGTGACCGCGTCTGAGTTTGACAGGGAGTGGGGGGGGGGGGGGTGGAAAGTGGTCAAGCGATGTGATTGGCTGAAAGTCTTGACCTTTGCCCTTGCCCGCCTGCCAGCGAGTGTCGCCAGACTGGCGTCTCCTTGTGTAATGTTGTAATACCCTAGGGGCATAAACCACGTGGTGGGTAACACTGATGCTTGTCCAGGCGGTGAACAAGTTTTTGTCCCAAAGTTTCATTTTACTACCTTTTTTATCCTATTTTCTTCAGACACAATTTTACCACAACAACAAAAAATATTTGTTTGCAGTAAAATAAAAGCATTATTGCAAGAAGTTCTGTCAACGCTATTGAAACTTTAGTTGGGGGTTTGAGCAAAGCTAGCTTATCCATTATTTTAACGATAAGGGCTTTGTGGTAACAAGCATAAAGAGAGTGGAGGAGTGAAAAGGGGCGGCCATTACAGGGTGAGATTCAGGATGAATTAAAAGTTGTAATGTTTGTAGAAACGCGTTCAGCTATCCTCCCTGTAGGAATGGAACTCATTTCCTTTAGTAACAAACCAAAGATTGTAATAATTACATCATTTTCATAGACACGTGTAAACTGTAGGTTTATTCAGAAGACATCAAGACAAACATTAAGAAAAAAAAGAAAAGAAAAATAAACGTTCACTTACTTTGAGCCGCTATTCCTCCTAGGTTTCGTTATACCCACAAATTATTCAGCTTTTGCTCGGGCAAGAAAAACAAGTAGACACTTTTGTGACAGTCTCAAACTGCAGAAGTCAACACCACTTTTGTCGCCAAACACGGTTTATAAAAGACAAGGCAGAGAAAGTCTGGGACTCGACGTGTATATCCACAAAATCTGAAGACAATGTCGATGTCAACACGTTGTGTACTCCGCTAACGAAATGAACTGAATTGTAGTTTTGTCCCTCCGGTTTAAACATCACCAAGAACAAAGGTGGTCAAAAAGGCGGAAAACACGAGTTAGCGTCTGGTTTTTGTGGGGTTGTTATGTAAGTGTTGATACTTTCTGTTGGATTGTATTAGCTTCTTTCAGAGGGATAAACGTTGACAAAGTATTAATCAACCGTACCTTTTGTAAATATTATAACCTAGCTTCTCTTTCTTGATAACATTTTTTGTGGGTTTATTGTTACATTTTGTTTTATTGTAATCAGCAAAAGAGTTTTAATTTGGGGAAAATAACATTCAGCTTCACCAGCGGTGGTCCAGCGATGTGATTGGCTGAGCTGAGGTAACGCCTTAATACCCCAGGGGCATAAGCCACGTGGGTATGACAGTCACGTGTCCAGACCGTGATCATTTTTCTACCTTTTTTGTCATACTTACTCCAGACACGATTTTGCCTGTTTTTATCCACATTGGCCATATACAATGCACTATTATGCGACTCTGGCTACACGCTCCTGTATCTAATAAATCATGTTTCTTTAAACGTTTCCGCCCTTTTTTTTTCCACTGAAAAAAAGCTGGTCAAAACGGATGGAAAACATGACTTAGGGTCTTATCTTTGTGGGGTTGTTATAACGTAAGTGTTGATACTTTCTTTGGATCGTATTAATTTCTTTCGGAGGGATACATGTTGACAAATTATTAATTTACCATATCTTTTGTAAGTATTATCACCGACCTTCCCTTTTTTGTGGGTTTATTGTTAATTGTTGTTTTATTGTAATCAGTAAAAGAGTCTTCCTCTGGGGAAAATAACATTCTGTTTCATGAACGGTGGTCAAGCGATGTGATTGGCTGAGCGTCTTGACCTTTGCCCTAGCCCACATACCAGCCAGTGTCCCAGACTGGCGTGTTTTTGTGTAATGTTGTAATACCCCAGGGGCATAAACCACGTGGTTGGTAACACTGATGCTTGTCCAGGCGGTGAACAAGTTTTTGTCCCTAAATTTCTTTTTACTACCTTTTTGTTGGGTGGGGGGGGGGGGTCCTACTTTCTTCAATCACGATTTTACAACGACAACAACAACAACAGTGTTGATGAGGATAATAAACAAAATGTAGAACTCTCCATTGCTCTTCCATACGTTGATATTTTAAACTTGTTTTATTATTATGTCGGGAGCTTCAGTAAATCCTGTAATTATGTATTCGGTTTTTACCTGACAAATACAGAGATTCATGATGCATTAAAAGTTTTAAAGTTTGTAGAAACGCGTTCATCTATCCTCCCTGTAGGGAATGGAACTCATTTCCTTTAGTAACAAACCAAAGATTGAAATAATTACATCACTTTCATAGACACGTGTAAACTGTAGGTTCATTCAGAAGACATCACGACAAACTTTAAGAAGAAAAAGAAAAGAAAAATAAAGGTTCACTTACTTTGAGCCGCTAATCTTCCTGTGTCTCGTTATATCCACAAATTATTCAGCTTTTGCTCAGGCAAGAAAAAACAAGTAGACACTTTTGTGACAGTCTCAAACTGCAGAAGTCAACACCACTTTTGTCGCCAAACACGGTTTATAAAAGACAAGGCAGAGAAAGTCTGGGACTCGACGTGTATATCCACAAAATCTGAAGACAATGTCGATGTCAACACGTTGTGTACTCCGCTAACGAAATGAACTGAATTTTAGTTTTGTCCCTCCGGTTTAAACATCACCAAGAACAAAGGTGGTCAAAAAGGCGGGAAACACGAGTTAGCGTCTGGTTTTTGTGGGGTTGTTATGTAAGTGTTGATACTTTCTGTTGGATTGTATTAGCTTCTTTCAGAGGGATAAACGTTGACAAAGTATTAATTAACCGTACCTTTTGTAAATATTATAACCTAGCTTCCCTTTCTTGATAACATTTTTGTGGGTTTATTGTTGCATTTTGTTTTATTGTAATCAGTAAAAGAGTTTTACTCTGGGGAAAATAACAGTCTATTTCACCAGTGGTGGTCAAGCGATGTGATTGGCTGAGCTTGTGTAACGCCATAATACCCCAGGGGCATAAGCCACGTGGATATGACAGTCACGTGTTCAAGCCGTGATCATTTTTCTACCTTTTTTGTCATACTTACTCCAGACACGACTTGCCTGTTTTTATCCACATTGGCCATATACAATGCATTATTTTGCGACTCTGGCTACACGCACCTGTATCTAATAAATCATGTTTTTTTTAAACGTTTCATGTGTCTTAAAATTAAGCTGTTTGTATTTTGGCTTAGATGTTCAAAGGTTCCCCGGCACCACCACCCCCCCCCCCCCCGCCCCTCTTTTTTCCACTGAAAAAAGCTGGTCAAAACGGAGGAAATCATGACTTAGG